ATTCGAATATGGTAAGTATGTATTTTGTCTGCAGTATTCATACATAGTAAAAAATAGTAAGGTTAAAAAGTTACTGCTGACTTGGCGCTTAGTCATCGCTGACAAGGCAATGACATGGCAAGATGGACTGACATATCTTCATCCCAGCCCTTGGATTTGCCATGGACACCCTCCAGTGAGAGGTGCAATGGAAAGGATTATAGCCCAGAGTAGAGAGGTGTGTGTGTGTATATATATATATATATAATTAATTACCGAAAAAAGAATTTTAATAAAAAAATTAGCTTTCAAGTTAAAAAGTTAAAACACAATAATATTATCATATAACTGAGGCCAAAGAAAACGTGGATCCTTTCAGCCTTACAAACGTAGTTTCACTATCCACTCTAATGCCATCTTAACTTCAAATAAAACCGTGTTAGGTACAAAATATTTTAGGGACTCAACAATGCAAATTAGATTGTTATCCAGCCAAAATCTATGATTGATTAGTTGAACTTGAAGAATGATAGATTCATCGTGATAAGAGCAGTGCCGCTACACATCTCGAATTTATTTCGAAATGCTTATCTCGAATCCAAGGGTCAATGATTGGATCTAGTTTCAATATTGTATCGGTCACTAATTGAGAAACAAGAACACTAAAATGTTCTTTTAAAATAGGTTTTCTGAAAGCTACACCCCAAGTGTGAGAATGGGTAATTCACGTACAATATATGAATTATAGTTTGAATCTTCATCACCGCAAATAGGGTGGACACGGAGTAATTTCAAATAAAATAATTAAACCATAACCATATATATAGATATCTAAGGCTTGGACTTGGTCTAATCAACACGAACGAAATTCAAATTTTGTCGTCGGGATCTTCTCCATTCAATTTCTAGATCCGAAGCTTCGTTTTGTATCTGGTTTAAGCTTGCATGCTCTTTTCAGTTGCCTTATCTTCCAAGTGATTTTTAAAATTTCTAGATTTAAGTAGAGTGATAAGCATAATAAGTAGTTTTTTCTCTAGCATAATAACAAGTTTAACAACTAATAAATTAGTATATTTTTCGTTGGGCAAATTATTTTAACTTATAAATGTAGTCGAATCCCATCCAAACAAAATAATAACTTAATCTTGTTCATTTGCGTCTTTACACAAAAGATGCATAAACATCACTCAAACTGAGTTACTCACCTAGCTACCAAAAACAAAAATAAAACGAGACAGACAGAATAAATTACCAGGAAAAAAAAAAAAAAGTGGACAGACTAACATAAAATAAGACGACACCTTTGTCATCAACAAAAATAATAATACTAAAATAAAATAACCTTACATAAACCAAACCTCATATTGTTTTCATCTATTCAAATAGATTCATCACTACTCAAAAACTAAATACGTGTTCCATTCAAAGGTACGAGTACACACAGTTACACATGCAACAAGAATTGAGGTGATACTATGTTTCGATAATGGTCATATTTTCTATTAGAAAATGAAGAAAAAATTGTCGAAGGAATATACTAACCTGTATATTCCGACTCTACTCAAGCCAAAGAGTTTTTTCCTCGCCAACAAGTACACCTATAATGATAGGGTTAATATGGAAAATTGTAAACATGTACTGAACTTCTGCATATTTTATTTGAACGAGTAAACACTGAAATCATTAACAAAGAATTATAAGAATAATACCATTTGACCTAAAGACAGAACAATCCCTCTGTCAAAGAAATGACAGAGGGATTGCCCTCCGGGAGGGGCAGAGAATAGCGCGTGAGTAGCCACACTTAGAGAGAGAGAGATGGATAGAGAGAGAATCAAGTTCTAACAATGGCGCAGAGAGGACTGTTTCGAGGAGTGAAACGGCACAGATAGACAATTCAACGGGTAGCTGCCCGAAGAGCCCGTTCCCCAAGAGGGAACACGTGTCCAATCTAATTTGCATGTTCGACACGTAGAAAGATTCTTCTGGGTCTAATTTGCATGTTTGACACGTAGAAAAGATTCCTCTGGTTAAAATAATGAAAGGGCAAAAATTTTAAAATTCATTTTTTCGGAAGTTAAAAAGTTCTAATATTTGCCCTAAACTAATTTACGTTAATATTTGCCAATTGGTCAGTCGTAATGTATGAAATTGCAGTACTGAACCATGTAAACAAGTAGCAAATGATGTAATGTGTTTATTTTACATGAATATATCTATTTTTCTTTCCGTTAAAAAAAAATAATAATAATAATAATAATAATAATAATAATTTTAAATGATTGGTTTTGTGTTGGTAACAACACCGTTCATGATTCACTTTGAATATGGTCTAACGGTTTATTTATTGAATTTTGGAACTTAGTAAACTCAAGGTTTGGGGTTCGAATCCTGCTGGGTATTCTTTGTGGCTAACCTCCGCTACCCCTGCAGTGACTTACCCGCCCCTAGTGGGGAGGTGCCCTTCCGAGTCATCAGGGATTAGTAGAGTTGTTGAGGGGTCCTAAAGGTTCGTACCATCCTAAATACCTTGAATTAACTATAAAAAAAAAAAAAAAAAAAAAAAAAAAAAAACAACAACACCACCACAGTCCATGAGAATTTTTTTTGCCCATAAATATTAATTACACTAATTTATAGGAATTTGGCAAAATCTTTATTTAACTACTGAAAAAAAAAAAAAAAAAAAAATCAAACTAATTCCAGATTTGACAAAATGGTCTGAAGATGAACAAATCAATATGTGACCATTGCCCACTTCCATATAATTTTATATTAAGCCCACAAAGTGCTTCGTGCACCAGATTGGCCCGAAGCCCCTCTGACCAAGTTGCAGCCCAAACCAGCCCAGTAGCCCACAGTTCGCCTAAAAAAATCCACATGGTTGAGAATCTTGAGATAGATTTACTTACCTTCCAAAAAAATAATCTTGAGATAGATTCAGATACAAGTTGGTTTGGGTAATCCACGTGGTATTAGTTATGAAAATTGATATATTCATAAATAAAGAAGAAAGTGAAAGAGAATTCTAGTATCTTCAAGAATATTAAGGAAATTCTTTATCAGTACAAAACTGGTAAAAAAAAATTAAGAAAAAAATTGAAGAAAAATGAATGCTATGCAGAATTTTAAGAATAGTATTTATTATATATCACACATTGAAACCTATGAAGCACGGACACTTCTCTTAGGGGTTCCGTCCCAGTGTCGGAAATTTTTCTGACACCGACACCCGTGTCTGAGGCTCGAACACGTGTCCGACACTTCTGTGAAGTGTTCAGAAATTATTTTTTATTGGACACGGCTCGGACACGGGAAGGACACGGGGTGGACACGGCTTGGACACGGGGTGGACACGGCTTGGACACGCAGGGGACACGGCGGGGTATATTTTGTAATTTTTTTTTTTTAAAGATAAATGGGGTACCTAATGTAATTTATTAATTTTAAAAGTAAAATTTTGAAAAAATAAAAAAACAATTACAGATAACAGAATATTACGCAGAAAATTTATTTTCTCTCACTTCCTCTCTCAGTCTCTCCTCTTCTTCAATTATCTATCTACATGAACACGACATTTTTTTTTTTTAAGTTACATGAACAAGATTTTGTGAAATACTGAAAGTATATATGTTAATTCATGTACATATTTAGTTCATTATAGCTATATCTCTTCTGCACATCTTTGTTTGGAATTTGGATCAACTTTATTTTTCATTTATTTTCTATTTTGTCTTGTCTATGTTTTTCTTATAATAGAGATGAAATTATTGAAATTGGTCCTGTTATTTGTTGTTGTTTTATTTGTAATTTTTTATTTATATATACCTGTTTGTTATTAGGAAAATGAATGTGCAAGGTTCTAATAATTATATTTTGAATATATAATTATATATATATATAATTTTATAGGCGTATCTCCGCCGTGTTCATGTCCTATTTTTTTAAAATTTGCCGTGTCACCGTATCCGTGTCGTATCGTACTCGTGTCCCGTGTCCGTGTCTGTGCTTCATATATTGAAACCATAACTCTTTTATATAAGACTTGTGGGGAACCTTAAGCCTATTATGGCCTTCCTCGGAAAAAAGGTTAGAATGGAGAAATGGGACAATTCAAATTTATTGCAGCTTTCCAAGAATTTCAATGGTTGAATCCAGGACTCATATTGTAAGATTTATATCTTATCAAGTGTCATAATTTTTTTCTTTGAATAAATCATGAATTTTCTAGGATAATATTAAAGATCTCATCAAAAACTTACATCAACTTGTCAAACAAAGGCTAAGAGAAAGAAGAGCAAATGTACAACTGGCATAATATTTACGATTGGATTCAAAAAAGCATAGGCCTCCGGCAATTTGGAGATGAAAAAACTACCCAATTAAAGGGCAGAATTAAGACGGATACAAATCAAACTAAAGATATTAAGCATAAGGGACATTTTGTTCTTGGAGATAATTGCATTTGGCTTGAGTTATTGATATAAAGAAAAATAAGGTAGACCAAAAAATCCTTCTTTTTCTTTGTACTCACCCAATAAAAAATCCTCTATTTCTCAAAGGAGAATAGAAGAAATTATACTTCATACAATATCTTAATTGAATTATATGTAATGATTAAAAAATTCAGTCTACTTCCATATCTATACAGTGTCAAAATCCTAGCAACAATATAATATATTTTATAGATATTTGGACTGAAAATGACAATGAATCGATACTAATATTAGTCTTTATTATCAACAAGACAGTGATCCAGGGTACCAGGCCCCAACTATTCAAAGGGAGATCAGAATTCAAGTCGAAACATGTGTATGTGAGTACTAACTAAGAAAAAAAAATTATTAATCTTTATTAATATCGAATATAAATCGAAATAGGGAGTGACCAAGTGGTAAGGCAACGGGTTTTGGTCCTACTATTCGAAGTTGTTCTAAATTATTAGGTATTTATCCCAATCATTAATTACCACATCAGGTGGATTACGTAATCCAGAAAAAAGAGTCTCACAATTATATCAATTTTCTTAAATTAAACTGCAAAGTGCTACCTTACTGTTTTATTATGCAAATTCAAATTCATATAACAAGTAACAGTACGAATTACAATTGAACAAAAGCACATTAGAACATATAATATTATGGAAGTCACAGTAGGGATTTGATATCGTTGGCTATGTTTCGGGCATCGTTGGCAGCTCCATACAATCCTCTTCTTGCTAATCCAGCACAATATAAACCCTTTTTCCCCTTCCAATGGTTTGGAAAACTAGGCTTTGGAATCCCATCATTGTCAAGAAGGTAATCGTCTCCCTGCTTAAACCAATCAAATCAGTCTACTTACTTAGTATTAGCATTTATATCATTTTAATTGGGTTCTATTTATTTATTAATTTCTTTATCCCAAAATAGATATCTATTATTTTTTAAGTCACAGTTCTTCAACACTTATTTTCTTTTAAAACGGATGGTGTATGATTTTTTATTTTTATTTTTGCCCAAAGGGTATGCAAAATGAAAATATCAATGGCAGTAGATGGGTCATTTATCATTCATCAATGCTAGCTAGGACAGGTGGATGGTGAAGACCTAACTTCTGTTAAGAAAATAACAAATGTCGCCCACACATTACATACAAACAAAAATAAGGGATGTCTTTTTTCAAAAAAAATCCTGAATTAAATAATTAATTTAACTTTTTACATATTTTAAAAAATTATTTCGTTCAATAATTAAATATGAAGAAATTAGATAGTTTTCATTTCATTTTTTTTCTTTTTTCCTTTTTTGCTATTTTTATCTAATCAAACGAAATAAGTAGACGTTTGATTTTCTCACAAGATAAGATAGATTTTGTGGTGTTTCCTTACCTTAAGCCACTTATTTGTAGATCTTTTGAATCCCGTAGCGAAAACAATCCCATCAAATGAATGTGACTTGCCATCATCGAAGAGTACTTCATTGCCTCGTATGCTTCTTATTATTGCTGGCAACACCTGTGCGCACACACACATAATTCACCATAAATATGAGAAAAATACCAAAATGTAGTACCACTTACTGTTTGTTAAGGGCCATATTCAACCACCACTTCATGGAATCCCTTGCATTATTTTAAGCAGAAGAGTAAAACAATATTCAGACATCAAATTTTCAATGCCCTTTAGACACTCCAAGTAGTACATTTATAAAAAGTGAAAGCTTTAGACTCCGACCCGTGTTATCATATATGAATTTGGATCTTTTCATGTGTACACAGCAGTGAAATGCACTTCTAAAATTTGTCTAACTTTTGATGCCACGTTGTTGTAAAAAGTGAAAGCTTTAGATTCCGACCCATATTACATATATGAACTTAGATCCTCTTGTGTGCACACAGCAGTGAAAATTCTATACACACAAAATAAGATTCAGATTTTAACATATATACATTTCTCTTGCATACCTGAATTTCGCCAGACTTGATCTTCTTGCACGTTCCGACGTCGATAACCGGGTATTTTCCGTACTTTACTTTCAGAAAAAAGGGACCCTCTTGGGGCCTTCTAATCCCATACTTGGTTAGGTCTCCATACCTTAGCTTGCTAAGCATAACCAGCAAGGAGTCCACAGTGCCCAACGGAATGTATTTCAACAACGTCAGCCCCAGATACACCATTCCCCTTGACAAAATGTGAAGCTGCATCATCCAACCACATCACATGTCCATCATCGATCGTATAAACCACACACAGTATTTACATTAATATCTAAACTATACCACAAAACATGATGCATAAAGAGGTAACATATATATATATACACATAATTGTTTGACTAGATTTAATTAACTAAACACAGTCACTTTTCTTAATTGTTTGCGTCATATATGTAATTATGTATACACAAACACAATGAGTACATAGGCCACCATACTATAGGGAACATATTTTCACAAAATCAATATCTTATAACATCATTTTCATTGGCAAAAAGTAAAATTTCTTAATTATTATTTTTTTCAAAATCAAATCTCACTAATCACTTTCAACTTTTAAATCCTTAGGAAATTTCGAATGCATGCAATCACTAATAAAGTAAGTAAATCAAATAAAAACAAGAACAAGAAGATGTATATATATGGATATATATACTAATATATATATATATAATTATCATAAGAATTAAATTAACTCAACAAATGAAATAATTACCGGGCTTCGAACCACAACGGAGGTCATGGCACCATGACTACACAGATCAAGTGCAATTTCCATACCAGAATTTCCAGACCCAACCACCAGAACATTTTTGTTACCATATTTCTCACCAGATTTATATCGAGTTGAGTGAATAACCTCCCCCGTAAAACTGTCCAAACCTTCCACCTCCGGGATAAATTCGTCGCTAGTCTCTCCGGTGGCCACCACCAAAAACCTGCCGGAATATTCCTCCGCCTCACCGGAACTCGCATTCCTGACCTTAACACTCCATCTTTCATTAATTTCGTCGTAAATCGCAGACTCGACCGATCTGTCATACAGAGGACTAATGTTGAAATGAGTGACATAGTCGTCCAAATATTGTATGAATACCTTTTTTGACACATAGGTGGGACTAGTGGTTGGGAGTGACATGTGAGGCAGCTCACAGAACTGCTTTGCTAGGTGGAGATGAAGACGATCGTAAGATTTCTTCTTCCACAACGAAGCGAAACAATCTTCTCGTTCTATGACTATGTTGGGGATCGAAAGCCGGTTCAGGCAGGCCGCGGTGGCCAGCCCGGACGGCCCGGCTCCGACGACGATTGCTACTTGCTCTTGCATCTCCATGACTTGGTTGATATAATATTGATTGATGATCTCTCTCAGTTCATTCCCTTGTATTGTACTCACAATGAAGGGAACAAGGATAGAACAGTATTAAAGCAGTATCAGGCAACGTTAATACATGTATGGACCATGTATTTGGTACATATGGACCATGTAAAAATGGCTTTTGGAAGAGTTTTTGTGGGACCCGGATAAAATTGTGAAAATTGTGGGGTCCAACTTTAATACCGACGTTACTTGCCGTCTAATGTAGGATTATAATGCCCATCAACTGGGATGATGGGTTGGAATTTTAGAACCACTAGCTTTCATCTGTATGTATATATATATATTGCCCTATAAAGACCTCAACTAGTAATTTTTTCACGCCAAATATCTGTTGGATATGATTGTTTTATATATATTTTTTTATAATTACGTTTTTTTTTTCCTCTTAAATCAAGTATATTTTTTAAAAAAAATGATAAGGTCACCAAATAATTTCTCCGAATAAGTCCAGAATCTAACATGTTTTTGTCCACCTCATCTACCTAAACAGTTTCCAAAAATTAATGTATAACCAATTATATCAAATTCGGAATAAATTCAAGAATTCCTTCCCGATTCTCTTATCATTACTCAATTTTTAATGTAATAGTAATAATAATAGATAATTACTGTAATAAATTTATATCAATATTAATACTATTTTGGCGTCCCATGTCCATATGTGATTCGTTAATCGTGCTGTGAGATGATAAGTTTAATTTTATTATTTAATGTTAAATTTAAAATTTAAAATTATTATTTTTCAAATTACAAAAATACCCTTTGTCTTCCTCATCACTCCCTCTCTCTCAAACTCTCACTTATCCATCTCTCTCCGAAACAGAGGAACCTTTTCAAATACACAAGACCTACACAAATATGAGAATTATTGATTTGTGAGTTGATGATTGATCAAACCAATGGGTAAGCTTGATGATGATGGAGAGAAATTAAAGAAATCGGCGAGATTAAATGACCCAATCTGAGGCAAGCCATTGAAAACCCGCTTCATCGCTGCGTTGGTCTTTTATTTGATCGCATGATATCAAATACACATATATGAGCATTATTGATTTGTGACTTGATGATTGATCAAACCAATGGGTGAGCGTGATGAGGATGGAGAGAAGTTGAAGAAATCGGCAAGAATAAGAAGACCCAATCTAAGGCACCCCATTGACGACCCACACAAAAGCTTCATCACTATGTACATCTTAGAATTACTCGTTGTCGGCGATGTAATTAGTCATTGTATGACTGAATCAGATCCAAGTATTGATGCAAATAAGACAGCATAGTTTCAAAATAAAAATATATGCTTGAAAATGCCTAATATGATTCAGAAAATATTTTCCGAGGAAACCATCTTGGTCGCTGCGGGCCGTTTCGAAAAAAAGCCTAGGTCGCATAAACCGACCCAAGGGCTTGAGAGAGGATGGCGACCTTTGGGTCACCGTCGTCTATGGATTCTAGGTTGCCTCCGGCGACCTGGGTGGAGAAGAAGAAAGGCAACGCTGCGTGTGTTCTTGTAACCAAACCGGTTGCTACAACATGCAGCAACTAGACTTGGGTTCCGGTGTGCTCGTCAGATGGTAGCACCTGCGATGACTATCTTGGTCGCTGTCGGCCGGAAATTCTTCTTACAGGCGCACAACAATATGGCTGCCGATGGTAGACGAAGAAGAAGAGTAAAATAAATTAAAAATATATATAAATTAAAAAAAAAATAAAAAAGGAAAATAAATATGTAAAACTGAAAAGATGACTACCACTCCCAATAGGATGTTTCCTCTGTTTTTAGAGAGGGAGAGAAGTGAGACCTTTAGAGTGGGGGCGATGAAGAAGACAAAAAGGGTATTTTTGTAATTTAATAAAAATAATTTTAATTTTTAAATTTAACATTAAATAGTAGGCCAAACTTGTCATTTCACAATCCGATTAACGGGTCAGTACGAATACTGAAGCAATGTGTTTTTTAAAGCATAGGGGGTAGTGGGTTTTGTCAAATAGGTTAGAAATTTATGATCAAAATCTGAAAGCAGTGAGAGTTTTATAAAATTAGCCCTTTAAAATGTTATCCATACAAGGTAGTTATGTAATTGCACAAACAAGTCGACCGAAAAGTGGATTCCAGGGGAAGCAAAGTGTTCCCTTTTGAAAGCACTAGGAGTGAGTTGTTCATTTTTTAGTTCAACGGGTATTTTGATCATTTGCTGAAATCTCAGGAAACTTTTGTACGCGCGCACGTGCACACACACACATATATATATATGGCAAATTGTTATATTATATAAATTGAAGAGTGATTATTCAATGTGATGGCATGAGTTTTTCGATCGAGTCGATCAATAGCTCTTATCCAGGTCTGTTACAATCTTTTGTTTTAAAACAACGAAAGTCATGGGGCTACGTATATTTTGACAACTTTGCAAGACTTTTTTATTTGGTAGGTAATATTGCCAACTCATATCATCAAGATTTGACTACGAACTTACGAGGAAAGGAACTATAAGTGAAAGGGCCCTTTATATTCTTGAATTTTAGTGTTGTTGAGTCAAATGTGAATTTATTATATTCTTAAATTATAGTGGGACCGTAGTTGAGTTAAATGTGAATTTATATTCTTACCCTTGTATCTTTTTTGTAATACATTCTATTTGGAAGAAAATAAAAATAAAAAAACCAGACTTGTATGGATGGATATAATTTATATATGACAATAGGTTGTTCTGGATTAATTGAAATTCTTACTAGTCGGATGAAAGAATTTCTAGTCGGATGAATTAAATATTTTTTAAAGTTAATTAACAAGTAAAAATTATATTCTTTGCCGGCGTCTATTCACGGCACCTTTGTGAGCCCCGACTACGTGTGTAAAGATCATAATAATTATAGAAAAAATATTTATTTTAAATTTTATCGTAAATTAGTACATAGTAGAACTATAAATTTTGTAGAATCTGCGTAACCTTATGACAAATAAGAAAGGGTGGCAATTTCTTCTGTCCTGACGTGTTTTCATTTCATTCCTAATGTGACGGATTTGGTAAGTCCTTAAATATAATAGGGCGGATATGGTAATAAAAATTAAAGCCCGTCTCGGGTTGGGGGGCAAATTTAATGTTTAACTTACCCTGACCCAAACCCGATTATATATATATATTTATTTATTTATTTTCTTGTTAGAGATGTTTATTTGTTCATTATTTTATAATTTTTCATATCACATCGAGGTACTAATTTTACATTTCTATTGCAATTTCACTTCTAATTTTATTAATAAGCCACTTATCTTTATTTATTTACCATAGTTTAATTTATTGTATTAAATTAAATGGAGGAAGCGGGGCGGAGTTGTACTCTATTTGCCACGCAAAAGCGGGGCTGGAATATGAATAAAAAATCCCCTAAAGTAGGGGCGAAGTTGGTATGAATAATTTTCCAATGGGACGGAGTATGGTTTAGCCAACTCTGTCCCAAACTCACCCCGTTGTCATTCCCAAGAAGCGAGTATATTTTTGAATACATGATATGGGAGATCTTTATAATTTTGTTTAAATAAAAGACACCTTAGAGCATCTCCAACCATTATATATATATATATATATATATATATATATATATATATATATATATATATTTTTGTGTAAATCTTATGTGTCATGATGAATTTATACAAAAATTTAGGATTATTTAATTTTAGCTCCAACGGTTATTTTAAACATATTGTGTAAAAATATATCTCCCAATAACAATCAATCATGTGTTATGCCAGGACCCAACATAACTTTTACAAACTTACTTAATATATGGTGGATTCTTTAATGGAACGAGAAAGAGGGATGCGAAAGGAAATATGTTGATCTGGCAGTGTAAAAAGGTTATGTAACCCTTTTATATATTAGTGATGTGACAATATATCTAAACAAACGGATAGAGATAAAAAAAATTTACACATCATAAGTGACATTATATATTTTACACAAAAAAAAATTTTAACATATTACTGAAAATGCTCTTAGTATTAATGGATAATGTTTATTTTAGGCCATATAAGAAAGAAGTTTTTTCTTAAGCTGACTTGGTTCAATAAAACACTTACATATCTGCTAAGTTAAAAAATGGAGCAGACCCATTTTTTAAGAATTAACCTGGATAGAATTCATATTACATATATAAAATTATCCATTTACATTGCACAACATCAAAACCTTAATATTCATCCGTCTTTGACCTTTATCCCCATCAAAGCATCCTCTCTCTCTCTCTCTCTCTCTCTCCCCGTCATGATATTTGGCTTGAAATAGAGGCTCTAATAAAGATTTCTCACCATTCAACCATAACCCTATATTTCTTATGTATTGGCGATAAAGAATAATTTAAGATCTATAATTCTTATTCCCTTTTCCATGATGTTTTAATGAGTCAATCTTAATTCAATCCAAGTATGGTAAGAAGAAGAGAGCTAGAGAGAATAGTGGAGAGAGAGAGAGATAGTGTGTGGCAGGGCTACTAGCGGCAGGTATGGAGTGGCGGTGGTTAGGGTTTTGACTTTATTTTTGTATATTTAAAATATAAAATAAGTTTTGGAACACATGTTAATTTTTTATTTGTCCATATCACCCATAAAAAAAAAGAACTTCATTTTTATATTGCCTAACCACCCAAGCCAAGTATTATCTACGTTTTAGGGTGGCAATTTTCTCAGCCCGCCTCACCCCTAGTGAGACAAATTTGGTATAATTCTAAATCAAAGAGTAGCGAATATAGTAATAAAAATTAAAACTAGTCTCGAACAAGATTTATTTTACAATTTGGGTATTGTACATTTTTTACATTTTATAATGTTTATATAAATTAATAAGTGGGGGTATTTTGATAATTTTGACTATTTGGGAGTCGAAAAATGTGGTGCGGTGACCAAGAGGATCTTTTGGCAACGTTAGTAGAGATGAGGGTTAGATTTGCAATTTTAAATAGTTCAGAGAAGTATTTTTTTACTTTTGGTGATAATGGAAGATTTTTTTTACACTTTTGCCTTGTTTTTAGTCATAATTAGGGATGATAATTTGACCTGCCCCTGCAGTTACCAACC